ATAGAAATACTGAATAGCAAATCTAAACATAGCAGCTGCGTCAAACAAAATCACACCTCGCAAAATTCAACAAGTACGTCACCTTCAAGAAATTTAAAACACTGGATAATCTCACAATATTTTCAAAACAAAACTTTGGTAGCATTTTAGAATTTAGTGAAATAAATTTGCATAACCAATTCTAAATCAAACTCAACACAGTTCCACGAAAAGATTCAGCTAAATAAATCCCAGAATCCACCAAAAAAGTCACAATTCCACCCCCACAACCAAACTAAACATAAAAAAAAACTGTAAATTCCTGTTTAATCAGACTAAGACATTTAGATCCAGATCGTGTCTTTCCTATTATTTTCAGGAATAAGCTTTAAAAAAAATCGTATTTTTACCAAAATAAGAGAAAAAATAACAATTAAGCAGCGCCAACTCTTAAACTCCAGATCGAACCATCAAAATCCAGAATTCAACAGCAATTATTACACAAACAAAAAAATCACATATATTCGCATAAATTCGGGAAGCATATGAAATTGAGTAACAGTTAGTCCACCTGTCCAGCAGAAATCCTCAATAAACCTCTTCGAATCCTCGAATCCATGGCGTCAGAAACCCGCATCTGCACTCTCATTAGCTCCCCTATAGTCACTGGCTTCTTAATTTTCCCTCCCGAACCGGAACTTTGCGGACTGCCGCCATCAGATCCCCGCTTCGAGCTGGATCTCAGCCCCAACGCCTTTTTCATCTTCGATGCCGCTGTCGATGTCAACGACCTCTGCAATGACGAAGACGAATTACTGGAATTATTACCATTACTCAACGAGGAATTACCATCGTTGCTACTAATACTGTTATTGTTGCTCAGGCTGTTGGAAGTGTAGGTGAGGGGTTTGGAAGAGGATGAGCGGGTGGATGCCAGGAAGATCTCATAAGCGGAAGCGCGTAGGTCGGTGGCGGAGAGAGTAACGTCCCCGAAGGGGCAGGGGAGTGCTTCTGAGAAGGAAGTTGTGGTTGCGGCGAAGCTGGGGGTGGCGGAGGACGGCGACAAGTTGGTGGAGGTGGCGGTGGCGGTGGAATAAAAGGAATTTCTTTTAGAATGGCCGAGTCCGAGTGACCGGTCTCGGAAGATCGACGCCATCTCCGGTATGTGTCTGTAGAGAGAGAAAGATAAGCAGTAAAGAAGATGAGTGAGAGAGAAAGAGTGTTTTGAAGAGATTTTATGTCACTTCAGGAGACGTTTTCAAAACAAAATTGTAACTTGGTCCTTGACCTTTAAAGTCGAGCAAATGGATCCATAAATTGTGCCTTCATTCTGAAAGAAAAATTATAAATTGATAAAAATGAGTACCATCAGATAATAGTATTTTGTGAATCCATTAGAATATATTTACAAAATGAAAATCTAACCTAGTCATCGATCAAGTCGTTGATGACACAAATTTTCAACATTATAACCTCAATGGAAATTTTGCCACAATAATTAAAATTGACTAACTCTTCCAATGATTAAGTGAACATCATAAAAACATGCATCGTCACAAATTTTTGAAAAGTTGCTCTAAGAAATAAAATCGAGTTTCATTAAGTTAAACGTGCGAGACAACCGTAACGATGTAACACAGTTTTGGACAATTTTTGCTGTTGAAATTTGATTTTCATAAGTATAATTGAAAGTTAAAGATTGACTTGCTTTCTTATTTCTATTAAACATTGGGTATCAAGCCCCCTTTTGATCCACATTAAAATCGTAGTTCATTTATCTTTTACTTCTTATCAATCACAGATTCGGAAAAAAAATGTTCTTCCAGAAATTATAATCTCAAATATGGGAGCCAAACGGCAATAAGGTAGGGACCAATTGTAATTTTCTCTTCAAATTAATTTAAAATTTTTATTCAATTTTAAATATTAATAATAAATTTAAAAATAATTAAATTGTTGCGGGGTCCAATTCAGCACCTAACATGGGATTAGAAGGATTATATATGTTGAGCCGTCGTTTTCACCATTACATAAAATAATGGCAAAAATGTAATAATTGGAATTCTTATGACTCGGTTTTGCTTAATATTAGGGAAGCAAAAGAAAATTAAAACCTTAATATCAATTAATTATTTTTAATATTTGTTATAGTATCAATTAATTAATTTTAATGTTTGTTATAAAAAAAAGTAATATAAGATTAAGAAATAAGAATTGATAATATTTCTTTTTTCGTTTTCATTTATTTTCGCGATCTAATAGTTTGAGTTATTAGATAGTTGGGACGTAGCTATGGAATTTTCCGTGCACAAGGTTAGATTGCACCTAACAATATTAAAAGAAATTAAATTTTGTTTTCTAATTATCATTTACTATGCAATAAACATATCATTGGAATTTGTTTCGCTCAGTTAACATGTATTTGATGCATGCACAAAAAAAAAAAAAAAAATCGCCATATTGATTCGATTATGGCACATTTTGCTTGTGAATGATCTTTCAATCAAATATGGCGATGAATTGATCAGAATAATAATCACTATTCATATAATTTAAATTAATTGAAAATGAAAGTCTATGTTGGATAATAGAAATAGATATTTTGTTTAAATATTATTTTGCTAATAATCTAACTATCTAAGTACATGTGGATGCACTATTATATTAATTCCTATAAAGTAACCCATGTGTACAAGAAAAATGAAGAGTTTTTTTTTTTTTTAAATATATATAATTCAATCTTATTTAGCAAAATAAAAAATTTGCAAGGAACTATAGGATAGATGCCGTGACCATATAAGCCTTTGAGGCTTCATGTGACCTTTCAGGGCCAAATGTGGTGGCCAACGTTATAGCCATGCGACCACATGGTTATAGTTTATGCGGTTGCATGGTTATAAAAAATAATCGTTGGTTAGGTTTTTTCTGAATTTTCTGAAAACTTTTCTGGTTCGCCCCAACATTCCCCACTTGTCTGATTGTTGCTGAGCAGTTTTTAAATATCAAACGAACCTCCCTAGAAGGTAATTTTAATGTGGCCGATTTCCCCTCCGTCACCACTTCGTACACAAGATTACATAATCCAATTGGATGGAATTGTGAAAGAGTCTCGGGCTTCTGGTTCTTTTGGTGAACCAATGCAACTTTTCACGATGAGATGGAACCAATTCGTGTATAGATGATTGAAAACTATACATATATGATAGTAATCATCCCTAAAACTAGGGCTAGCATGGTCCGGTTATGTTCTCTTTAGAACCGAACCGAATTCGAATTTTCGAATATTTAGTAATTGGAACCATCGGGTCCAAATTTAATTATAGAATCGTTCGAGTTCGGTTCCATTCGATTCAGTTCGGTTCAGTTCTATTCTTGAGTTCTGTGCAATAATTTTTTTATATCACAACATCGCTACATTAATTAAACTATGACATGTTCAAACTTAATTCTTACAAAATAACGTAATTCAATCTCGTGATATCTTCTGCACATCTCTTTATTGAGTTCTCCATAAATTTGACTGTTAAAATCACAAGAAAATGAAGACGAAGAGTTCACAATAATAGAATGACAAAAACGACACTACGATAGAATAAGAGATTTGAGTAAAATATAGATCAATTTGATTAAATTGAGCTTGGCTATAAATTAGAAATAGTAAAATCATAT